TCTAGCTCATAGGGAAATCATGTTGAAATCCAAATAAGAACAGGCTTGGATCTGGCTTACCAACCGGCCACCCGCAGAGAGCCCGAGCTACGGAATACACTCCACCCTCACACACCAAGAGCACCAATTCCCAACGTTATAATTGCCACTACGAGGAGGGAGGAAACCCTAAAACATGAGAAATACGTTGCTTACAAACCAAGCACTAAAACTATGTCAAACAAAATTTCACTGACAACTGAAACTTATGAAGGCAGACCAGGAAACGACGGAAAACACCCAAGAATAAGACCAAGGACAGAGTAACTCGAAAGTCATGAAGAAGAAAATGGAATGTAATTTCGAATTTAAGGTAATTAAAGCCCAAGATAAGAGTAGTCTATGTAACTAAAGTATGAGTGTCTCCATGTATAGTGGCGCGGTTTCACCCAGTCAGCCATACAGCCTGTGTCCATTGCCCTACAAGTCATGTCTTCACGCTCCCGGTTAAGATGGTCACTAGTACTCCGTACATGCTCCTCAGAACAACAGTCCCACCGCTGCCAGTTGGCCTCCCACTACTCCTGGAAGTGTCGCTGTCTGACTCACCGTTCGCCAAGCACTTAGAGCCTCTCTCCCTTCTTCGTGCAGTTTGCAATGTATTTAGCCCATAAATGGACATAATACCGCAGTAGATAACACTTGAATTCTGAAGTTTGAAGGTCGTTGGAGGGACGGGAACCGCCCTGCTCCCTGATATTCCACAGAGAGGCGCAGCCCCTTATCAAGGCTGAGGGTGATGGGCGAACCTAGAGAGTACCGAGTACTCCATAGCTCCGCCCCCACACCCCGAATCCCGTGCCTTGCTGCCGACGCAGAGCGCCGCCGTCTCCGAACGGTGATACCATCGGTAGCGCAGTGCTCCAACGGAGCGCTGTCCCCCTCCGCGCACCTTTCAAAATTTTCCAAATATTATCATGTACGTTAGTCATGAAGTAAACCACTCATACGGAGTATTTAGCAGGGAAAATGGCTAGGTTAATGTACTCTAAATATTTTGTGTAATAGAATGTCTTGGAAAACAGCGCCCTTAATCCCAACGGAGACGCTCCCACTACCACCAGAGGAACTCCCACTCCCATTGGTGGCACCGCTGCCTGTCGAGCTTCGGGTCTTTCACACTCCCAGGAGAGATAGTCAACAGTAGTTCTTTTTTTTTTTTTTTTTTGTAAAACAACCCAGGTGAGTGCTAGTGATGATGATAAGAGCAAACACCACTAGCACGCCCGGGGAGGCTCCATCTATTGGTGGGGAGCAGCACCTGCTGGAAATCGGGTCCAGCGTCCCTTGACAGTTACGTAATCATATCAGCGCGCCACGTGTCAACCCTACAAAGATCGTGCACCACAAGCCAATCAGCACGCAGTGCTAGTTCTCACGTGCTCCTCCCAACACCAGTCCCACCACCACCGGCTGCCCACCCACTGCCTCCAGGGGTGCCACTGTTGGATGTGCCCGCTGTCTCGTACTAGACTCTCTCTCCCTTCGCCGTGTTCACACTGCCATGAGTTACATTACTTGAATCTTGTAGACTATCTGTTGTAGGAGGAAACCGGAATCGCCCTGCTCCCTGGTATTCCACAGGGAGACACAGCCCCTTGTCGGAGCTGAGGGCGATGGCCGAACCTAGGCCGTCGTTTTCTCGTTTTCACTCATAGGCCTGACCAAAAGTGCAGCCAGATGTCCTTCGGGACATCCGTTAAAATTGGAACGATACAGAGAAGATTTTTTTTTTTTTTTTTTTTTTTTTTTTTTTTTTTACGATACAGAGAAGAATAGCATGGCCCCTGCGCAAGGATGACACGCATAAATCGAGAAATGGTCCAAATTTTTTAAAAAAAGTGCAGCCAGATGACCTGGCTGGCAGGTATTTCATTGCTCTCGAAGGAAGGGTCACGTAAACAGCCGAGAATCTTCTGCCAAAAAAATGAAAAAAGGAAAAACAGTGGGGGAAAGGCATACAAAGCTCTGGACGTGATTGCCTTCTACCACGGCTCAGAAGTTAGGTCAGATACACGCTGGAAAGTGGCAAAGTTGTATGAGGCCCTGACATAGAGAGGCTGGCAGGCATTGGATGCTCCCTGTCTCTCCCGGGGAGTCACATCATAAATAGCCGTGAATCTTGGTCTTCAAAAGAGAAAAAAAGAAAAAAAAGGGCTAACAGCATACCAAACAGCCCCGGCCGGCTTGAACAAAGGTCAGATACAGGCTGGAAAGTGCCGAAGTCCACTGGAACCCCGAAATGGAAAGGGCTGGCAGGCATTGGTTGCTCCGCGTGAAAGACGAACAGCAGTTGAGTGCCTGCCGCCTGCAGCATGTTTAGTTCAGGGCAGCGGGGAATAAATCTGATGGCAATCAGGTCCAGAGCTTGCTATGCCCTTCTTGTTTTTGTGTTTTTTTTCTGTTTTTTGAAGAAGAAGATTCTGGGCTGTTCCTTTTTTTTTTCTTTTTTTCTTTTTTAAAACTATACTCTTCTCTCAATTTTTCCTCACACTACCTACCTACCACTACTCCTACCTATAGGCATACGGGAAAACCCGTAGCATACCAGAGCCGTGTTTTTACGGCCCCTCGAGCCTGCAGGATGACTCGTGTGAGAACAGTAAAGTACTTGGCAACATATCCCGACTTCCTGGAAAGAAGAAAGAAAACCGTTCGATATTGCGTACAAATCGTTCAGTTTCCACAGTAGTTCAGTAGGTTTGATAGAAGATTGCATGGATGAGGTTGTATGTTCAAACTCACTTACCTAGTGGGAGGCAGGCCCAAGAGACCTACACACCACCCATAGACTCAGGAACGGTTGATGAGAGTGAGACTTAGTACACACTGTGGTCGGCGTTCGTAGGTTTCTTGGGGCAAGATTAGAGTAGGGGGACCCGTTGCTAGCTGGAGATCTGGGGGGGTCAGCCACTAGGCACGGAAGGGGTTAGGATGAGGGCTCCCCTTAGGACAACTCACCCGTGGAACAGGAATGGTTGATGAGAGTGAGACTTAGTACAATCTACGGTCGATGTTGGAAGAGGAATGGTTGATGAGAGTGAGACTTAGTACAATCTACGGTCGATGTCTGTCTGAACTAGGACACTAAAGACCGCCCATGGAACAAGGATCAGTTGATGAGAGTGAGACTTAGTACAGTCTATGGCGGGTGCTGGTAGGGCTCTTGTGTCGGTGGGGCTCTCTACTGCCTGAGGGTTGGTTGGGTTGCCTGTCTCCTATGTTCGGTTCACTATCAACAAAACAAGTAGTAATGACAACAGTGTGCACAGCGAACAACCTAACAACAAAAACAACAGTAACAACAGCAAGAACAGTAACGACAAAAACAACAGTAACAACAAAAACAACAATGACAACAAACAACAGTAACAACAGCTGTGTACACAACGATAGGAACGCAAAATAGGTTCAGCTATGGGACTTGTAGTGAAACGTCTGTACGTAGCACCTGAAGTACCCGGGCGACAAGGCTGGGACAAATATGCTTCGATCAGGGCTGAGTGGGGTGTGTGTGTAGCGGACCAGGTGTGGTGCTCCGCTAGTGACAGAGATGGAGATGGAGGAAGAAGGGGGAGCAAGATGGCACAACACAGCTCCCCGCGCAAGACTCCAACGCACGTACTCCAAAATGTGCAAGTGAGGAAATGAGACTGAAAACAGACAATGGCTGGGGTATACCCCAGCGGACTGACGGGACTGGACTGGACTGGCTGGTACCAACAGAGGTACCGGCCTG